AAAATGTTTTGACAGAGGTACACTGACACTTTAAAACTTTACACAATATAAAACAATTTGTTTGCACAAAGATGTGAAAAGTCAATTAATCAAAAAAGGAAAAAAAAATACAATAAACGGTACAAAGAACAAAAGTGGATTTAATAAAATCCTCTGTGGCCAGTGCTGGCCAGTGTACTGGTTTAACCACACAAAAAAAAAAAGTGGTCACCTACCATACATGTTTCCAGATCCTCGAGTCTTTCTGCCTCTAGTATCTCAGCAGACGCTCGTTTAGGAATCTTCTCCTCAGGCACATCCAGGTCCACAGACTCCTGCTGCACCAAGCGGCGTCCTCGTTGCACCAGATGGTCTGCCTGATGAGACGAGTTATGAAAAAAACAAAAAACAGAGAGAGGGTGTAGACAGGGTTCGGCTTCCCCGAGCATGAATAACGCTAGCAAACATGAGGCCTTAACTTAAGAATCTCATCAACTTAACTCTGGATTTGTTTTGTTTTGATATATTCCTACGGACGTGGCAGGACGAAGTAAACTGGCGTCTTCTTACCAGCGTGAGCTGTGATGTGGAGAGAGCCTCTAGTATCTCATCAACGATGCGATCCGACAGAAAGGAGGCCAGACTCAGTTTCACCTCACTGAGTCATTTCAGAAGATGAGAGAAGGTAAAAAGTCGATTAAAAAGATTTTTAAAAAGTCTTCAAAGCCGGTGCAGCGGAGATACAGACCTGATCTTGTTGATGATATCCACCCCAGACTGCTCCAGGAGGGTTTGAGTGACGAAGCATTTAGGTACGACCATCTTGGTTGAGCTTGCTTTCATCAACTCAGGACGAAGATTTCCCCTCTTCATCACATGTGGACACAGAGACTCCGCAGTGTCCATCATGGACTCTAGCAGAGACTGAAGGCCCCGACCAAATCACAAAATGACCATGCCGATCTTGTTTACCTTCCAGCAGCTATAAATATTTTTAGCACAAACATCCCACCTGGAGTTGCTGATCCATGACAGTGGTGACCTCTCCAGCCATGGACTCCAGTTGCTCCTGGATGGGACCTGCTGATGAACTGTTCAGCTCCTCTCTGGATGCTGATCCAAGGTGGTAAAGGTTACGGAGCAGCTAGGATCACGCAGAGAAGTCAGTATTCACAACAACGTCACAAACATGTTGGTTCATTCTTAAGATAAGCTGCAGTGATCTAATGTGCTGAATCTCATTAGAGTTGCACTTTAAAATTAGAGTCATTTGATTAAGCTATTGCTTATGTAAAGTATATTTTATAGAAACTAAAAGACAAAAAACCCCAAAACACTAAGAGTGCAGCTGAAATTATTGCATGTTTCCTCACCGTTTTAGAATTTCTTGCATCCTTGATGAGATTTTCCGCTGATCTGACGTCTTCTAAGATGGCGTCAGCCTCGGAGTTCTTCAGTGAGTTCAAATGGTCTTGGACTTTGACACAAATTCGGTCTATCATCTGGAAAACAAGATTGTGACGGTTGGTCATTTACTGTGTTTGCATTTAGCAAACAGTCACATCCCCTTTAAAGACAAATCGTTCAGAACAGGAGCCAATGGCGGTCCAACACTTTTTTAAGTCGATCTATGGCATCATTGTGGAATTACAAAAAAAAAAAAAAACCTATAGCAGTGCACGGTAGAGATCCTTGTCTTTGTCTGTTTGTGCTCATTCACCTGCTGAGTGGTTGTGGTTACGATGCCCTGCTGGAGGCGATAGGCCTGCTCCTGCAGGTGCTTTCTAGTTTCATGATTCCTGTATAAATACGTCTCAATCTGGGAAGAAAAAAAAAAAAGGTAAATGTCTGATTAATAAGCACAAGCCATAAAAATCTAAAATAGAGTTGGTGTTTTGTTGATTTTACAATTTTGTTTTAGCAAGGTAGGGGAAAAAAAAGAAGAATTTAAGTAACCTGTACTTTACCTTTAGCAAGGCATCCTCTGTTTTCTCAGGGCTGGCCTTCAGGGCCTGCGAGGCATCGATGATTGGGATGGGCATGAAGCGAATGGTAAAGTTTCTAATGCAAATACACAGAGCATTTTGTTCCAGTACGAGTTTATATTATGGAAGCAGAGAAAAATATGCAAAGATTTACAATAAAAAAAAAAAAAAACATTTGCTGATGTTGCAAAAAAATAAAATAAAATAAATGAATAAATTATATCTAGTTGTAGTTAATTTAAGTAAACAAAAGTGTAAGCGTTGCAAAAATTCATAGGTAGTAAAACAGGGTTTGCATACATTTAAAGGTCGTTCAACACATAACTTCCTATACTCATTTCTTTTTTTCACACTTGTGAAAATATTTATTTAACTCAAATTCCAGTCTGACCGATAAAATACAAAGCTTCTTCTAACACAAACATACATTTGACATTCTGTGCAGAACTTCTGAAATAAACCTGGAATGAATGAGCAGAGCTGCAGAGGCAGAACATTAAATGAATGGATAAAAACACACATGACTGCTGCACAGAATCACGATCAGGGACAAGGAAAAAAAAAAAAAAAAAAAAAAAGACATCATCCTTTGAATAATTCAACCCAGCAACTCAAAGGGGAAATGGGGCGACTTGCTGCTGGGAGGATCAGAGCTGCAAAGAGAGGACATGTTTGCATCTGAACAGCCACCAAGAGCTCAGATGCTTGTCCCAGAAATAAATGCAGCCACTTTGGAAGATTCAACAGAAGCGTCAAAAAGACGATATCTGATCTGCTTAGTCCTGATGTTTTCCTTACTCTGATGTGTTTCCCTTTTCCCTCGTAGGTTGTATTTTGTCATTTGACAGTTCCCCGTTTGTCACTTTGCCTTTTTCTCCCCTGCCTTCCTTTACTCTCCCTCCTTCCTGTCTATAAGTACCTCTATGTTTCCTTCTACTCAGCATGAACGTAGAAGAGGTCGCTGCTGTAACAGCTAACAGAGATATTTTAACTTAGATAAGAGGTAGGGTGATGTTCATCTTTTCCACTTGCTGTGTATTTCTAAAATACACATGCTTTTACTCATAACATGTAGGCGCAGGCTCAGTGTAACCATGTCAAAGATGTTAATTCATAAATATGTAGATCTAGAATAGCTTTATGTCAACATGCTAATTGTAGTCATGAGTAAATCAGTCAGTGGAAACGTTAAGCTGCCATGATTGGTGCATAAAAAGATTTTACAGTTCTACTTACTTCTCCAGAGCGGTTGCTACATCCTGAAGGCCCTGAGGGCTGGTGTTGTTTTTATCCCAGATTACAGTCCTGTGCAAAAAAAAACAAAACAAAAAAACACACACACACACACACACCTCCATTATCACAAAAAATATTGGACATATGGATTTTGAAGCATGGAAGTTATCTAAAGCTCATGCTACATAAACATAAATCAACTAAAATTTGAGTTGTGACTCACTTGTATCTTTTAGTCACTGTAACACTCTGAGGTCGTTACCAATGTATTTGAGTCTTTCATACTGTTTGGTTGTGCTTATCAATAACCCCTTTAACAATAACATTTTATGGGAAGCTAGCTGATTGGTCACTGCATGTAGAAGAAATAGTTTGATGAGTCCAAGGCTGACAGACATGTGGGACGGTCCTTTTCTTCCTGAACACGCTGGGAGTCACCTGAGTTTCGAGTTGATTTGCAACGCCTTCGCCAGCATCTTGGCTCCCATGTCCCCCATGGCGTTGCCGCTGATGTCCAGCCGGGTGAGCGTGGAGTTGCTGCCGAGGGCGTTGAGGACGATGGTCAGGTCACTTTTGAGTCTGGAGTCAGCTAAAGACAGAGAGGTGAGGGGCTGGGGGTGGAGGGGAGGGAACGATAGGAGGAGGGGAGGACGGAGCACAATGAATCAGATCAAAATATCTCTGTCTGAAAAAGCTGCTTGGGAAAGAATATTTAGTAGACTAAAATATTACAGGTGTCATGTAATAAAATCTGCTTTGGCCCTTTAGATAGACCTTCATTGACCTTTTACACGTAGGAATTTGTTATTTTGCAGCACTGGGTCATATTAAGAGAATGAGAACTGCACTAACATGACAGACTGGCAGTGACTACATATAAAGACAGCATGCCAATGCAGCTTAATACTCTCACTGAGGTGATGGCTCTACAATAATTCCCTTTAAAACAAAACAAAACATTGTAGCAATGGAACATTATTGTATTTTAAAGTTGGAGTTTTCTCACAATGACAAACATACTGCTATGGGCTCAATTGTAACCCCCCAAAATAAAGCAATTGTCCCTCAAGTGCATTTGTACACTGTAATCTGGCTTTTTATGTTAGTTTTGGAGTAATGGCTTCTTCCTCTACGTGTGGCAATTCACTCCATGTCGGTGCAGGACTTTGTGTCTCTGACAACAATGTGCATCAGCTTCAGGCAGCATCTGCACATGCAAAACCCATCCCACTGAATTAAAACAATAACTATGTGTGCAAGAATGTATTAAATGTATGGTTTTCCAAAAGCCACACGAGCATTTTATCTCAACAAGCGATCACTTTGATGTCAGATCTGGTTGTTAACCGCTTATACTATGCAGTAGAAAAAAAAAACAAAAGGTGCAACTTACACACACAAAAAAACGAGAGAAGAGCTCTCTTATATGGTCATTGCTATAATTATTCTTTATCTAAAAACATCTTTCCATTAAGCATCTTAATTCACCTCCCATCCATTTTAGTTTCTGAGTACTTTTGCCAGCTGATATACCAGTAAAAACACACCACTCCCCCCCCTCAATACAAATGATGATGCACCTGCACTCTCGCTGCATAAACACCCAGAGAGAAATTGAACTCATTGCACAGAAGGACCATCAATCCATCACGGGGGGCGGAGAAAGAAGGGCAGACACCAGAGCAAAACTTGTTACAGCTCTCATTACAGGGTGAGATAAGACGAAGCAGATGGACAGAGGGTCTGTGAAAGGTTAGACTAATTCTTTAAGTCTCCACAGGGAGAAGGGCTCATCACGCGTAGCAGTTCCTTGACATGGCAGGTTACACACTCGCAACACAAACCCTGTGCTTTGATGCCTTCGCTTTAGCATTATTGATCGGTGCACAACGCTACACAGAGAAGACGGTGGAGAAATTAAATACTTACCGACTCCTCTTCTTGAATCATGTGAACCAGGCCATCCAGTACTGGAGCGAGGTTTCTAATACAAACAAGACAAGAGGGGGGCGGGGGGATGGGGAAATTATTCTTTCTTTGACAGATGAGAGTTGGAGAAGCGCAGTGATAATTATTTTTAAAAACAAAAATCTAAATTGTCGCCTCCTCTGCAGAACCACCCTTCATTTCAAGCAGAGCAGCAAGTCGTGTTGGGTTTTGCTAGGTGACAAGAAAAATGTACTTGATATGATTAATAATTCATGTTGTAGTAAACAGGCCTCAGCAGCTTTAGCAGCACATAAATCTCGTTGTCACCGTGCTTAGTATGTTTTTAAAGACCATTTGTCCCTTCACTGTTGAACGTCAGAGAGAGAAAAATAAAATCGGATAAAAATTTTAGTGTCAAGTTCATTTTAATCCTAACCAGTCATACCTCCACCATCCAAATCCATATTCCCCGCCCCCTCCTCCTCCTCCTCTGCATGCTTACTTGGACTTGATGTTGTTGAAGTTCTTTCCCAAAGACAGGTGTTTGATGGAGCGGTTCTTGGCCAACCAAACGAGAAGAGTGGACAGCTCCGAGTCCAAGCCTAAACAGAGAGATTATTACATTTTTATTGATGTCTTTTCAAACATCTTTGGTCATTTTTGGCTCAGAAGTCCACAAGCGTATAGGCGTTGCCATCGCACCGTTATCTGAAAGATCCAGACTGGAAATGTTTGGGATTTCTGCAATGCAACCTTCAAGAATCTGAGAACCACCCGAACGAAGCTGAAAAGAAAAACAAAAACAAATCAAAAAAAAAAAAGGCAGGGAGAGTTAATGTGTGTTTATTAGGAGACTTACTTATCACATATTGCAAAGTTTTCAATAACAACAACACATAAAACATAAAAAAAAAAAATATATATATATATAGAGCGGAGATAGTCGACGTTAAGCCTGACCGTCCCCAACTTGTGACATGATGCTCGTCAGTAACTAAAACGTCTGACCGTTAAATGATCAGCCCACACATCGTACTTAACCACTAAGACGTAGGACTAACAACAAAACTGCTCGGTTCCAGTGAGGCGTTAGGTCAGAGGAAGCACGGACGGAAACGCTGCATGTAAAAGTGAACAGTTCTTTATGATATTAAGACATGTCTGTGGGCCAGTCAACTTGCAACAAGGGGAAAAAGAGCTTGACTTTAGCAGACGTTCAGAGAACATGCACAGATATTTTAGCTGTGTGTATCAGATCCGACACATTTGTTCTAAAATGGAAACACACTTTTATGGCAACGTTTTATTAACTACCTCTCTCACACTGTTTTGCAATGATTGTTCAACGTATAAAAACTAGATACCCCCCCCCCTTTTTTTTTTTTTCTAAATTACAGTTACTAGAGAAATCAGAATAAAACTGACACAAGTCCTAATTTTACAAAATCCAGATATGGAAATTTTGCCACAAAAGTTGTGATTTTCCTAATTTATTCATATAAATGCTTTTGTCTAAGATGTAAAAAAAAAAAAAAATTATGACCAGCAGCAGAAGAAAGTGCTATAGCAGACATGCAAATAAAAAGAGGAAAGAATGAGACATTGACAAATAAGATTGAGCGCATAGATACTTACACAATGCCCAAGCTTACAGAAGCATTAGGAGGAGAAAACAGCATGTCAAAGCCAAGCCAGCAATTACCAACAACGAAACCCACAGATGCTTAATGATCATTCTGGTTTTCAAACACAAAACTCATCAAAGACAAACACACGGGCATGCAAAACATGCTCAGCAGGGAGCAGCAGAAAGGCTGGATTTTTCACACCGTTTTGCTCGCTCAGAGCCACTCAGGGCCGCCTCTGTCGAACGCTTCATTACAGGCTTTGAAAAGGCATCATTTCACCCCGAAGATTCAGTCGGAGAAGATTTTTTAGAAGAAGACATCCTGTATAATTTGTATTCATGAGCTATCTTTAGTCATTATGCTCTGCGGCAATCTGTCTCTGTTCAACAAGGGAGAGAGGAGATGGCAGCAAGCCTTAGTGCATCCTGTGATGAAACAGAGGGAAACTGGACCCCCCCGACTCCTGTGTTCCCCGCCTCCTCCATCACCCACTCCCTGCCGTTTGCCAACGAGTCCATTATGCTGCCTCTTGGCGCGGCCACTGGCCTGTCAAGTGGCTTTCAAGTGCTTCCTAAAAACTCCATCGCATTGGATGAGAAATACTTCCAAATTCATGACAACTGGAATCACAAAACTTGCGCTAACAGGAACAATCAAAAAGAGGAGAGCGCAATAAAAAATACAAACCTTGGTTCCAATGGTTGAGTGTAATGACTCGTCCAACAAAGTTTACACCAACTAGTCAGGTTTTAATTATGTGATTGAGCACCAATATTCTCAAACGGATCTTGAAAGCCGTCGTCGTATGGACGTGTTAGTGCGCCCATCATTTAGACTGGTTTTTATTGACACAAACTGAGCAGATGAACAGGAAATTAATTCATGTAGAATATGAGAGTGGTCTTACCTCACAGCAGCTGAGATCCAGTGAGACATCCTTCAAACTGGGATTACTGGCCAGGCCAAGCAGAAGTGCTCTGTTCAAAGTTTACACAGTGAATGCAAAATGCAATAACTTTAATATACAGAACAAGGGAAATTAAATATTTACAGAGTCAACTTGTTTATGAATCAGGATTTTTGTTTAAAAAAATTGTAAAAAAAAAAAAAAAAAAAAAACACCCATCGATTAAAAATCAGTTCAGTATGGAGTTTCTGATCCAATCTTCTGTCATGTTAATACAAAAGAAGTGCTTAATTACAAGAGAATTTAACGGCAAAGGTACCAATTAGTGCGGCATGCACAATTCACCTAAAAACTAAATAAAGGTTGAGTTACACGTGTATTTATTTTAGAGTGAAAATGCCACTTTAATAAAAGATGAACAAAAAGGTGTAGATCATTACCAGGGATGCTGATAAAAAGTAGAGGTTGCTCGTTTTAAATTGATTTTCTGAGAATCATCTTAAGGAATTTGAGCTGAGATCTAAGGGAATGAATATGAACTCGTGAATGAATTTTTGTCTCACTTGAGAGCCTCTGGCGGCAGCTTGGTTCCCGACACATTGATGGAGCTGAGAGACGTGGCGCTGCTGAAGAAATGCTTAAATGATGGAGGCACCTCTTTGCCTTTCCTGTGCAACCCACAAGAAAACAAACAAAATAAAATCAGTGTGACCTACAACTCAAACCAGCATCAATATTTCAATGTTCTTTTCATGTAGAAGAAACCCGTGACTCGGTGTGTATTTAATTCGTCTTTTAAGAAAAACATCCATCCGAGCTTCACAAACATTTATACCGTGAGGATTAAAAAAGAAAAAAAAGAAAACGAGAGCTGCAAAATACAAGGACACAGAGAAAAACATGGAGAAACATTCCAGGTTGACAAAAGCACAAACCCCAAACAACATGGGTACTTTCCCTTGCATGAATGATGTAATTTCCCTTGGTAGCCAGCAGGTGTCATACACCAACATGCTCACTGTAATACAGTGAGCAGTGGAAGTATAAAAAGCAGAAAAAACAGCAGAAAATTCTCAGTATACAGAAAAAAACAAAACAAAACAAACAAAAAAAAAAAACATCCAGTCTTCAAACACTTTTTGAATCACAAAATTTACTGAAGTTTGAAAAACTTTGCAATCTAACCTGAATGACCTATTTACTACAATCTACAACTCTTGGACTTTTCAGATAAGGATTGCTGTATTCTACACTAAATTCACATTCTATAAGCCGCACTTTGTACCTTTGCTTTGTAAAGGAAGCTGCAAAAATAATCAGTCATGGCATTTATGCCATTTTAGACCAACAACCTCAAGTCTAGCTCAACGTGGACTTGAAGTTTGAAGACCAAAATCTGTTTGGTCTGGTTGGATATTTAATCAGTGTAAATGTAGTCAGAAAGTAAAAAAAAAAAAAAATCATCACTAGTTAAAAGTAAATGTGAAAACCACTGTGATACTAAAGCATTATTAGCAATGTTTGTTTTTTTTAAAAACGAGGAAAGGAATAACATTTCTATTTTCCATACTTATCCAGACCTTTAAAATAATAATGGAAAACCTTTCCACACATTTCAAGACTGTGTAGGAACCCTGGATATCTCTAACAGCTCAAAGACAGCACAACAAGGAGTGATGAAATACAGATTATTCCAGACTGAGATCACATTAAAACATATTCCAGATACTCAATCTAGGACCTTCAACTGTCTAGTTGTATCCAACTCACATTTAAATCCTTATCAAAAACACCTAAATATTTCCATCACAGTAGGAAATAACAGACCATCTAATATTGATCTGGTCAGCTTTTATTTTAACTCACTCAATCTTCCAAGTTCTCACAAAACATTTGGAAGATACAAATTTCCTCATTCCGTTTTGAGCTATTAAAATGTTGATATTCATTTACCTGTGAGGGAAGATGCTTTTGGACACATTGAGAACAGAGAGTTGTTGAACTGAGCCTCGCAGCAGAGCCGAGCAAACCTGAAACGCAACAAAACCCACACGTAACTGCAATTGTCTCTGCAACGCGGCGTTCAAATGTCAGCGAGTTCGAATATGTGAGCAGTTTTCACGGCAAAGCGGTTTTATTTGTCCACGTTTCCATCCGACTGTGAAAAGACAAAATATGATTTCAGGCTTAATCGATAAGTTCAGCGAATGTCTGACAGCTGGCTACATCTCAAACCAATCAATAAGCCGTGGCTGGCTCTCAGACCCACATCAATATATCACCAACACTATTCAGACCACTTCATCGCGCAGTGACCTGCAACAACAAATTGAATGGGTGTGCAAAATTAGATTACACCTCCCACAACAAAGTTATTCATCGGCCAGCAGGTCGTTTTCCACTCGGCTACAACCCTAACAGCAGGTTATGGTTTGCAGAAAGAAATGCTGAAAGTTTTAGGGGGTATGTTCTGTTATGCGGTTCTGTTGTGATTGATGGAAATATCTGCTCAGCACAAATGCATTTCATTTAGCTACTTTCCGTTAGTCGTGCAGCCTCACCTGATCCAGTGCGCAGTCTGTGTTGGAGAGGTCTAGTGTTGCCAGCCTGTTGGGTTGACCGAGGAAGTTGTAGAAATGCTAGAAACAAGAATAAAAAGACCAAAAGTTTAAATGTTGTATCTGGTGGAAAACAGACACTGTACACTACACACACACAAAAAAAAAACACCTCTCCATCAGGCATCATCCCAATGTGGGAAATTTTTTCACTATTGTTTAGAGTTGATGGAAAGATGGATGGAGCTGAATGCAGAAAGTGGAATAAGATGGTTTACAGGCTGCAAAAGACTTTATTCTGGTGTGAAAATTCACCATCCAGTTGAAGAAAGAGTCTAAACACACAATCGGATCAAAGCACATTCATGTGTTGGGACTGTCTAGTTGAAGTCTAAATTTAAATCTACTTAACAATATGTGGCAAACATTGATAAGTGTTCTTCATATGCTCTCCATTCAACCTAAACCAACTTGTTCTGTATTTTCTAAAAAGGAATTGGAGCAAATCTCAGTTTCTAGTTGTAGAGACAAAGAGCTGTCAGCTGTGACTGCCAGCTGAATACAAATGTATACCGCACTTTTTCCAATTGTACTGACGAAGACTTTTACAAGCATGCATCATGTCTATCGCATACCGACAAGCAAGGACAGTTCAATGTACTATGCTCAGTTGCAGTGTCTCAAAATTAAATCACATTGAATACTAGTGAATTAGCTTTGTGTTCTTTTATGTCACTGAAGCAAAAATGTTTGGATTTTTTGATTTTAGAGAATTTTAGTGAATATTTTATCCACTCTCTTTTGTTTTTCCAAACATGCACCTAACTTCTTTCCGAAACATTGTTCTTGTGTCTAGTATTACTAGACTGTCCAGAGAAAGAACAGACAGATGCACTTCTCGCATGCAGGTCACACAAGTCACTGAGCGTTTTCCAACATGCTAGGTCTTACTAATGTATTAATATTTGTTTTGTTTTGGACACATGATCCAGCTTGAGTGGCAGGGTATCCACCTGCATGTCGTCTCCTCGGAGCATGTTTCCTGAGAGGTCCAGATGGACTAGGCTGCTGGCGATGGTTGGGTTGGCACTCAGTGACTGGCAAAGGCTGTTCACCCCTAAAGCCAGAACAAGCACATAAACACACAAACACACACAGCCCTGTAGTGTTGGCTTTATCACTATGCTCAAATCATCACTTGACATTTCTGAAAGCATTTTGAAGGAAATGACAGAGGAAATGAGAAGCAGGTGAAGGCTGGAGACAGACGGCTCTGGTTGTAAACACAAAAGATTGTGGATTTTTATGGTTTTCAAAAGGCAAGTCAATGTCCTGCTACACAAAATCACTTTCTTACATTATACACTTTTAAAAACTCCAAAAACAGAAAGGCATCTCTGCAGATAATGCATCATTGGATCACTTCAAAAGTGCCCAGTGGTTTATTATATTTGAAAAATAAAAGCTGTTTCTATGGCAGCCTGATGCAGCTGTGAGTTCAGCCTCTGATTTGTGCCATGTCCATCACATGACTGACAAGCTGATCTGACACATTTCAGCAGTGATGTCCTGACAGCCTGTCGGGTCATAAACCCCGGGACTCTTCTGATCAAGCTAGACAGATGGAAAAGAACATAGCTCGTGTAGAAAAATAAATAGTTAAAATGGTATTTAAAAAGTGCTATTAATTCTCGGGGGCCACAGAATATGGACTGAGTCTTTGACAAGAGAATTGGGCTACAGTTTAGGCAGCACAGGACCTTTCAAACATTCAGAGTGGAAACATGATAGCTCTATTGACTCCCTGAGAGCAGGACATGTTGGCAGTGAATCCTGACAGGCTGTCCGGTACTGGGAAACATCAGCAATGTAATCTGCATGTAATGTTGGACGACAGACACGTTTGTTCTTTCTAAACTCTCTGTTGAATGTTCTTCCCATTTTGATGAGTGAAAGGACTTCCCATTATGCAAAACGGCGTTTAGTTTAATTAACTAAAGTTAAAAGCACCGGAGAACGGACAGAAATACACAATACGCCTCTAAACAGCCTGTGAACGCAAATTGTCTCCTTCCTTTTTCCATCTCGACTCTATTAGTGCTGTAATAAGTCTCAGCAGCAAGTCAGCTGGAGACGCAATCAGACTAATGAAAGATATGAATTGTATCTGCTATTAAGGGAAATCAAAGCGGCAACAATTCAAAATAAAGTCATCACAAAGCACTACATTTTTAAGCCTCTATCAAAACACAGCTTCATTACAAACATCACATTGTCTTCTCTGTTGCCACAGCTGTGCAAGTGGAAAACTGCACATACCTTTGGGTGAGAGTGAGGTTTTGGAAAAGTTTAAATGCTTGAGCCCCAAACGAAGTTTGGCAAACTGTGCACCGAGAGAAGAAACACCTGCAGCAAGCAAAAGAAAAACAAACACAAAAACAGGGATTTTTTTAGTCCTGCAACAGGATGCGTCAATTACTTTTTAACTTTTTAATGCAAAGTGCTTTACAGGCTAACTTAACAGGAGTTACTTTCATTTTGATGCATTTAATTGGCTGAAAGGCTGTAATTTTGACACAGTTCCAACAATAACTGCGACACCAAACACAAATTAAAACATTGAGGTTCTTTATCCCCAACCTCAGGCCCATTGAAAATAATGGACTGCTGGAACCTCAAATTACCTCCAAATTCTGCTGCCGTTTACACCAGGACATTCGTGTTCTTGAGATTAATTTCAATGAATTTTTATCCTGATTAAATGAATGTAGAAAAAAAAGAAATTCAGAAAAGAGTGGTTAAATTCCCAGGTAATATTACCCTGGAGGTTTTTAAACGGCTAGAAGAAGATTAGTCTGGCAGTTGCTGAGGAAAACATAGTGAAGACGCATATGTAATAAAAAATAAGTAAAATTACTGTCAGAGGGTTTTCATTTTAAGAGGCAAACCAGAGAGCAATGAGCAATAGGAACCTAAATGTCCAAATTAAGTTACTCATTAATTAAGCCTTATTTAATTAAGTCAAGTAAAGCAGTGCATATTAGAAATAATGGTGGAAAGATTTTATGAAACTAAATAAAGGTTTTAGGTTTTTACTTCTGTTTTGCTGTTTGCAGATTTGTTCAAATGTAGCCTTTATGCAACACTGTGCTTTGTATTAGATTTTACTTAATATTTTTGCCAACTCTGAATGTTTTCTCATCATCACCAACCACAGTGTTACGATTAGTTCTAGGTAAATAACTCCAGCATAGAACATATAAAAAGCAGAATATAAAAAAAAAAGGACTCAGTATTCCTTCTTGCATCTTGCTAGTCGCTACCTTAAATATGAAGAGAGCTAAAGCAGTAGAAAGAATGCAACATAAGAGCAGTGCACTGAATGATGGTAGAGGCTATAAAAGGCATAAGAGGGAGCCTTAAAGCAGCAATGAATCAATCAGCAAGTGGATCAGAACATTGACTGTACCTCTGTCTTCCAGTGGGTTGTTAGCAAGATTAATGGAAGCAAGTCCTGAGCCGGCGTTGTGGGCCAGGGCAGCAGCGAGCTTCTGGGCAAACTCTCTGGAAGTTGTGAGAGGATTTATTGGCAACATACTCTTGGAAAATGTAAAAACATTCATCCATCCATGGAAAGAGTCAAACGTAAAATGATTAAATATCGATATGAAGTAGAAATGTACAAAAATCACACAAAATTAAAAGTAATTAAAACAATTTATTTGTTAATTTGTCCGATTAAAATTTATCGTTGCATCAAAGCCAAAAAAAAAAAAAAAGCTCTAATTTACTTCAAATTATTTCAACTTTAGATTATTCCCTGAATCAAATACTCACGCCTCAACAAACTTGGGCAGAGGGCTCTTCCGCAATTAAAACAGAGCAGAAACAAAATTAAATTAAACGTATTGCTCACGTTTTGAGTCCCGCGTTGTCCAACACCATCTCCTCTAGTCGACTGGATCGAGACACCACTCGAAGAATCTGCTCGCATACGTCTGCAGACTAAGGGCACATGAGGGGAAAAAATATATATATTCAGAACTAGATTATCCGAGTTATTTTTATTAAATGTGTTGTGGGTGGAATAGCGTCTACAGAGTGAGTGCAGTTCACCATTTAGTACCAATCAATGTCATTTTCTCCATTCTGGCTTGTTTTGTAACCTTAAAAAGAAATGTGCATGAATTTATTTCCACGCATTGCTGAGATAGGTAATCATAAACGTCGCCAAATCTCACTTGTGATTTAAATAACGTCATGTTCCATCCTGAATTATACCCTGTTTCCATTCCTTTTTATTCTGATGCCCATATGAGCCAACACACACTTCAGGAAAATATGGCAGATTTTGATCCCTGATCAAACTAGAATGATTAAACATCACCCTGGTTGAATGACTTTTCAATGTGTAAACTCTATTTGTAGTTCAGACTTTTATGTCATTTCTTAACTGTATTACCAAGTGACATTATTTCAATATTCATTGCTTTTTGGGTTATTTTTGGCACATTCAAAAAAAAAAAAAAAAAAAGAAAACTCCATCAACACTTAAAATAAATACATATTTAGGTTTTTTTTACACTCCAGCAAATTCTATAAAATGTCAATAAAATGATTATTTATTGATTCCATGAGATGTAAAACATCAAAACTTGAGACTGACGTAATCAAGGTCACAAGAAAAACCTGTGATGAATCTCTTAGGTTTACAAAAATGCAGGCCAATTAAAACTGAGCAGCAGAACGTGAAAAAGAAAACAAGATCTCAATCCTCCACCTGAAGCTGTTCGAGTGTGACAAAGACGCATCGGGGAGAGCAGACCCCCGGAGGAACAAGTTGCCTCTCTTCTGTGGTCCCGGCACAACAGGAGAAAGCACTCATATTTAAGCAAAATTAAAAATGCAACAGCTGAAAGCCTGAAAACCACCTCGATGTTCACTGACCCACTTCGCTGAGCGCTGCGTCATTGCCAGACATGAACTGTATGACGCATCGATACGCATTCAGAATTACTTTCAGAATTACTTCTTTTTTTTTTTAATAAAAGTTTTTAAAAGTCTAGCAAACAGTTTCCATTAGGATGACAGAACCTTACTGGAATGTTGTGTTATTATTCCCGATTAACAACATCAGCCCTACAAGAACTGCTTCTGTTCGCCTGCTGTCTCAGTGGGACAGAGACAGGGGACGCATTGTCCAACGCGAGTCAGCAGTGAGGAGGAGAGAAAGACGAGAGAGAATAACTGGGCAGCGCAGAAGAAGGGGACTGTTGTTCACACAGCTATCCTGGAGAACCATGAGCATTAAAAGACGCAGAAGGAGGGATGGCAGCAAACTGAGGGGAAATAAAATCTGAGTATTGAGGGGGGTGAAACGTGAGAAAATAGTCAAATGGAAACAGAGCGGTCCATTCTGCACTGTCGTCACAGCAGCGCAGCACGGTGACACCGTCAGCATGTGTATTGTACCATTTTCTACTCGTTAAATAGCAGCGTGGTCATGAATTAATGTCCTGACCCTGCATCTGGTCAAACTGAACATGCCTCCACAGTTTTTCTGTCCAATCATGAGGTTGCCAGAAGGCTAGTCCTCTTATCGCTGCAGTCCTCTCATCCTCCCTTCTTATCTCAATTTGGCTCAACTTCTTGATCACCCCCCCAAGACTAATAGCCTGATTGAACTGGGGATGAGCAGCATAATCCTTCGTTGTGAAAGCCTGTCGTGTGTATATGTGTGTGTGTGTTGTTTATCTAATGAACAGCACAGAGTTTCCTTATCTGTTGGACTGAGGTGGTCAGAATGTGACTTGGGCTTGCAGCTTTCGGATTTGGTTTTACTCATCAGCAACCAGCAACATTCTCTTCTCTCTTCACGTTCAACACATATCTGTTCAGTTTTAGTTATTCCAGATGTAAAATATTAGATTGTCAACAGGACTGATATAACACTCGTAGTGCTGAACTTCTGTAAGTCTGCAGGATTAATTCGTTCTTGTTTTGGAGACTTAAAAACGGAAGCTTGCGTCTTTTCCAGGCTCCCTTTTCAAACGCTGACTTGTTTTCTTATTCATCTGTCATTTTCTCCCAGGCCTCGCCATTTCTCTGCCTGCTGTGTCGCCACTTTTTCTCCCTGCCTTCACTCATCTCCTTGTGATGCCCTTACATGCATGAGACACCACAGGAAAGGACACAATGACAACATTCTGGAAAGTTACAATTAACTGCTCAATCCGACATCTTTTCAAACAGACAGTTTCAAATATTTTGATAAAGTCTGCTCAAAAAGAGCTACTCATAAACACAAGTCAGGCCTTGCAGTGGTTGATCTGCTGCCTTCAACGTTTAAATATTGCACCTGCAAGGACGAAACGGATGGACACATGAACATATGGATTTATGGTTGGATTCATGAATGGATGGATACGAATGGTTGGATAGATAGAAATAGATATATTTTTCCAATCTATGTTCTAATTTCCTACTTACATAAACTTGAAAAATAAAAGTTCCAAATCTTTCCAGACTGTGAAGGAACCCTGACACAACGATCTGCATATGTTGCTCTATAGCCATGCAAATTCATTCAACCAATACTTTATTCTTTAGGATAACCACGGTCATCCACAGTATTTAATAATTAAAAAATAAAAGCATATCTACTCAGGAGGGACAGTTACAACGAGTAAATTCTGGTTCTGTCAAAATTATGACATGGAATTTTTCTCATTTTTGCATCATCAAAAACCGTCTGCACCACATATGAATGAGGCACCAAGGCTCATGCTAAATATGAGCTACCACAAAGGACTAGTCAAACATATGCCTGCAGGAACCACTGCTCCTTCAGTCTCCACATGGCATGGTGAGGGACGGCTTGTTAAGTTTCAATAAAAGGGGGGGCGTATCTGTGACGGAGGTGTGAGGTAATTGTTTGGACAGAGGAAGCTGCGTGTGGTAATTTGTGAGACTGAGGGAAGCGTGGAGATGCTGAGTTAGTAATGGAGTGATGAACCAGGAGTGGGGGTGGGAGGGAAACAGCCTCAGACATTGAACCCCTTTGTCTCATTTGGATTAGGAGTCTTATCACACGAGAACATTTGGACTGATCCTCAGTCAAAACACTGCAGGGGAAGACGGGAGAAAAATGAAACAAATATTCTCTGCAGACAGACAGGTTCAACTATACACAGTCCAGCACAGAAGAAGGAAGAGATGAATTAAAAAATAAAAATAAAAAATCACACATAGAGGGAAACACAGAACGTAAACTAGACTAGAAAACTATAGAAAAACACAGAAATGAATTGAGGCATTGAAATGGTAGAATTGGTCTACACTTTTCACATTAAAAAGTGTATTTTTTTTTAAATAAAACATATATACACTGCCAGCAGCCTTGACTCTGTGTAGTACACTACCTCTACACTACCTCCACAGTATAATAAAACCGTGATGCTCTTAAAAAAAAAAAAAAAAAAAAAAAAAGCAGGAAAGTACAAGAATGAGTTTTGATTTTTGCAGGTACTGACCAGTTTGTAATCCTTGGTAGACAGCTTGGTGAACCACTGGTTGAACTCCAGGACTGCTATTATAGCTACCAGATCCCTGATGACGCACAGAGGAGCCAGCAGTGAATTTTTCTTAGAAGTACCATTCAGTATTGACATACTTGCTTCTGCTTATAAATGGTGCAAACTATGAATCTTATCCGTCCAAAGAATATCGGTTTTATTTGTGCAAAATGTTACGTTTTCAATAAAAAATAACTTACATTTTGATCGGTAAGACTAAAGAAAGACAAGAATGACCTGTTCTCTAGATGGCTGAAGTCCTGCAGGTTGAGTTCTCTGCTGTCTTGTGTCAAGTAGATGGTGTCAACATCCTGCAGAGGAAACAATCAACAATACATTCAACCTTTGTGTTGTTGCACTCATATTCTTTAAAAGACGGCATGCAGATTTATGTAGGCAGTAGACGGCAGCAGACCAGACAGGTGCACAGCTCCGATGTGAAACTGTACCAAACAAAGACAGTAAGCCACACTTACCCACTGCACTTCTTCTCTGTAAGGTAGTCCTAACCAGTCACACACACATCTGTACATCTGGGAAAACCCACCTACAGGCAGAGAAAGAGAGAGATGGAGAGAGAGAGAGAGAGAAAGGTGGAGTGACTGATATAATCAGAGTTCATCTGGCCTTGTGCAGGGAAAGAAAAACACCAGCAGAAACTAGTAGGGGTGTTACATTGAAACACACTCGCTTCTTAATGTTACGTTTTAAAGGCCCGCAGCAGTTAAGGTAAAGTGTCAGGATCCTACCACAAGGTCCAGGTTCAGCAGGCTTGTTGTCCCACAGACTCTGCAGGTAGCTCAGTCGGTCTGGAGGCTCCAAGCTAAGTTTCTTCATCATTTTGCTGGTGAGAGAAGCGAAAACTCTTAGTTCATTAATTTCTGTGTTGCAGCAGATGAAAGCCTCAGAAATTATCTGTTGCTGTAGATAAAAGAGGGATTGCTGAACTACTTTTGCAATGCTGCAAAAAAAGACAAATCTGCTAATGGTTTAATTGAATATTTATCATCTAAAGTGCCCACATTTATTAAAATATTTTTAAGATCGCTAATGCACATCACTTAAGGCTCACTAGATTAGAACGTCATTGCTCAGCATTTTTGAAAGACACTTGCCCTGTTTAAACATCAGATTTAGTTTGAGTTTAGCTTAGCTGAATGTTTTTGTGAGAATAAATCCAATCCTTCAGAAAGGAGACTTCAGCTTCAGAGGTTTAAATGGGTCATCGCAGTACCTACAGAAGCATCTTACTGCTGTAAATATAAAACTTCATACATGGACAATCGGCGAGAACACAAAAGAAGGACTTTTGTAGAATTTTTTTTTTTTTTTTTTTTGGACTAATGAGTCTAAAAATGTATCATCTGAAATAAAGAGATACCCAGAAATCCGTACCGACTACACTTACCTGGGTGGTAAACCAGGACATATCCTGAGCAGACAGTTTCCTACATGAGCGACCACATCGTTCACCTCCTCTGTGGAGAGCAGCTTCACTGAGAACGAGCCTCGCTCATACTCTACTAGTAGCTAAAAGCAGAAATTGATAATGAATGATCAATACAAGTCAGTAAAAAATAAAATCCTGACCGTTTTGCCTTTTATGCTCGCCTTTTTTATTGATGATCTAAATAATTAGTTTGGGAAACATGAGCAAGAACATGTTCTTGTTTTATTCAATTCTCCCTCTTTTCTCAGACCAAATGTCAGATTTTTTTTTTTAATGAGACTTCAATGATTTCTATATTTTGTTGTTGTTTTTTTAAGTATTTTACTGCAAATTAGCTCAATCATGGTTTTTTCATTAACACAATTAAAGATTTATTAGATACAGGCAGGGGCTTAATAACATAACCAAGTCTGTTAACCATTTCAGTCTTCACTGCAATTATGCAAATGCTGATATACTGACACACATGCTTCCTCTGTGGGCCAGAATTAGCATATTTCTTCCTGGCTGGGACACAGGAGACCCTCAGTCAAAATATTCAGAGAACTGACAGTCACAATGAGCAGGACAGGGGTACAGCTGCAGAAACAGGATGGTCTGTGACAAATTGTACTCTGAATGATGCTTCTGCTGACTGGCAGCTTACTCGCTCCAGTCAAAAAGCCTTTGGGGGCTCAGCCTAGATATGTCTGCTATTAATGAGTTTTTAAGGATTATGGAAGGATTCAGATATTGTAAGGGTGCGTTTCTGGATTTGTCCATTTTATCTCCTCATTAAAAATGTGTTGCGATTTTAAGGATGATCTTCCAAGCAGAGATGGAAGATTTAAGAACATTTTAAAGCAAACACTCATTCAGATGATCCGCATCTAGAACTTCAATATGTTTGTGCTTTTTTTCCCCAACAAGGAGCCAAAACATTACAATTTGACACAAATGAAAACCATGTCTGATTTTCTTCCTAGCACCTAACCAGGTCAGAGATAAATTGAAGTGCGAATAGGCCGCCATTTTTTTAAGCTCAGAATGAAGAACATGATGAGATCTGAGCAGCATCAATTCCCAATCAGACAATTTGTAGGAGCTGCTGCAAATAGTGGGTGTATGTGAGCAGGAACTCTGTGTCTGATACTTGGAGAGTTTCAATTTAGAAACCAGCACACTTTATGAGTTTTTCCAGAGGTAGTGTTTATTTCTTGCTTCCTTTTTTCATACTATACTCCCGAGATTTGAAAGAATGGGTAATCAGGTAATTGTCTAGATATTCAAAGTTGGCAGACAAAATGAATACTATAATATTAAAATATTATTTACAGCTAAATACAGTGGAAAGCCTGCATACAAGTATATAACACAATTTACTGATTTTTTTTTCCCCAATCATAAAAACTTAAGTATGTGGTTGTAAAATGACAAAATTTGAAAGAAGTTAAGGGATCTGCAAGCCACACAACATTAGGCTTAGCTTATCTTGTGGCTTTAATATACTTAAAGAGACTAATGCACCCACTTTTAAACAACAACCACTGTTTCCAATAAGTCATTTTTCTTCTACTCTATTTATATTTCCAAAAATGTAAAACCCTTTTCAATATTTTATTCCTATAGGTAATGTGCAGTACCTGGGTCGGCTTGCTGGAAGCTATTCCCTGGATCTCCAGATAATTAAAGGAGTGTTCCACCTGTAAAAAAAAAAAAGAAAAAGAAAAGAGATGGAAAAAAAAAACTTATGAAATCAGACAATTAAAGGCGCATAAGCTAAGCTAAGAGACATAAAACAGATCTGATCTGTTTAGTTTCAGCAAGAATTCAGCACTAGTTCAATCACTAATTTCATTCAAAATGTATGTTTCTTTACAAATGGGCTTGATTTTTGATGCATATACATAAAATTTGACTATAGTCACTTTTACTATCAAAACAAAATATATATCCACCAGCTGATTTCTTCCTTGCACAGTTTACTATTTGTTCAGCATTGCCATTTCCAAGCTAATAAAAATCCACTCTTGCACTAACATATTTTATTTCTGTTTAAAGAGGGCATTTTAGGGCAGAGAAAATTAGAAGGAAAAACCTCATTGCTTATACTTCCACGTCTAAAAAGAGACCAAAATAAGCCGTTTCATGTGAGACGGGTATCCTGCACACAGTCACAATGAGCACAGTTTTCCACCGCTACTTCCACTTTCAGAAAGGCGAACAGCAGAGAGCCTGAGGGCAGGCCAGGCAGCGAGACCAGACTACTCCAGGTGGGAGCTCCGTTTCTCAGGCTTGGCACAGAGATGAGAGAGAGGAAGAGGATATGCAGTCTGTCTACTGCCTCACTACAGTATGGCGTGTGTGTCTGTGTGCGTGTGTGTGAGCGTGTATGCTTTTCTGTTCCCAATGGCTTTGAACACACTCTCGAATATATAAACAATAAAATTTCTTCCATTTACATTTGGAGAACAGATGCCCACTCATTGATTTCCATTCGATCGAATCATCTCTAATCATTTCAAAAAAGGAAATAAAAATACATAAATACAAACACAAAGGATACAATACTAAAATCCCAAAGAAATAAACCTCAGTTTGTGACATATGTTGCCAAACACACACAAAAAGGAGTTAGGCTTCATGTTGTCAGACTAGATTGTGTAGAGTTTGAAAAAAAATAAAATAAAATAAAGAACTGTGGGAAGATAACCTTATTGACTATGCTACTTGCTTCTTTGTCACAGTTCATTCCACATGAGCAGAGCATTAAAGGCTGCATATATTTACCTCAGTGAATATAGTACAATGTAAAGCTTAAATTATGGGCCTCAGTGAACACCAGCTAAGTGTGTGTTAGGTGTGTATTACAGGTTTCTGGTTATCAATACATCTCCAGTTGTGACTATGTGATTACTACTACTTTGCTTGTGAGGAAATGCATTGTTCGATATCTGAGGTCCATCAGCAAATACTGGACACACCCACTGGTTTCTACCAACACTTTAATCTTCTGCTACACAAACTATGATTACAGCAACTGTTGGACTTTGGTGTGACACAGTAATATACAACGCGCCTTTGGCATGGATTTTTAATTGTTTATTTGCAATTTCATCTACTTCTGCTTTCTGATGGCTGGACAGCTCTTACTGAAGTCAATGGTGATAAATCCAAGCTAACGAGTGGCTACGATGTCACACTGGGAACTGCGTGGAGGAACCAAATGCCGTTTGGTCAGTCGTCCAGTACCCATCTGTCAGCTTAGTAGCTCATATTCTTTATGTTTGTTGTGGTTTCAAGCATCTCTTATCATTTAGGTTTAATTGGCTGATATAAAAAGACTGCCTATTATTTAACATAACTTTAGGTTTTATTTCTATGCTTTAAAAGTATATCTTAGCATATCTGTTTTTCTGCATCGCTTCGGAACTGTTTCAGACTTTTTCCAATAAAGAGAGAAACATGGAATAAAACTTATTCAGACTCGGTCGCTAAGCAGCAACACACCAAAAGTGGAAATGAAAATGCCAAAATTATGATTAAAATATCGAAAGTGTTTATCTGTGGGTTCTCGCACTCGGTGCCACTAATAAGTTTGATGACAATATTAAAATGAGATGTTTCAATCCAAACACAAAGGATGTAAACTGAACATAAACTATGTGAAAAGCACTTTACTCATTCATTTATTTAACTTTTAAGCAAAAGTTTAGTGAATTCAGTTTGAAAACATGAATATTTTTCAACACCGAGTTTCTATTCTTCTATGCATAGCCAAACCTGGAAAATACTAAAAGGAAGTTCCAGATTTGTCCAAACCCTGGCATAAAAAAAACAGAGATGGGGGGGGGGGGGAGGAGGAAGAAGACATGAATGATTATGTGAGTGAGAAACAGCCTGTGTGAATGCTGCAGAGCAGTCACAGACTGTTAAGCCCCGAAGCTTTTTACAAGAGGAGCCAAATCATCAATCGAAGAGACTCGCACAGGAAAACCCGCTGAGACGAGAATAAAAGAAGCTACAGGCAGTTTTCAGCTCTGAATTTACAGCCAGGAGCAAACTGAGTTTCCATACTGTAACACAATAAGTCAATACTGAAGCTTTCCGCTTCCAAAATCGATGAATTCCCCCAGACCCCAAAAGAGACTTAGATAGATTGGATACATTGAAATATTTTGAGCTTTTATAAGCCGACCAAGCAATCAGGGATCAGCGGTCATCTTGGAGAAGCAAGAAACTTCCAAGTTCAAATCTTTCTGCATGGAGTTTGGATATTCCATCTGTGCATGTGTGGGTTCTCTCAGGGTACTCCAGCTTCCTCCCACAGTCCAAAACATGGCTGCTGTGTTAAGTGGTCTTCTGGTCTACAGGTATGAGTGTGTGTGCATGTTGGTCCTCTGATGGGCTCTCGACTTATCCATGGTGTACCCCGCCTCTCGCCCAATGACCACGAGAGACACTGAAGGTACCAGGTTCCATCTCCTTTAAACGTACCTCTGCATAAATTGTTTATTTAATTGAAAAAGTATCAACTAATGCTTTTTCATGATTAACATGAGAGAGTACATTTTGACCACAGTATAATTAGTGCATTCCACTGGGGAGTTTTATTTTATTTATTTTTTTAAATAAAGACGATACCCCTGCTGCCTTCCTTACCTTGGCTGGAATGCGTGCTGTCAGGAGGTAGGCTCGGTGGGTCGCAAGAGCCTAAGAGAGAACAGAGGGATTAACGAGTGCGTAGCAGGAGATGTATATAATTAGCAGCTGTAAATACAGTCTGCGAAACAAGAACAAGAAAATCACAAGGAACACAGAGGAATGTCCAGGTGACTCAGAGAGCAGCAGACACGCGACTCAAACATTTCCATAAAAAACACAAAACAAGGACGATTGGGGAGGATTTTAACTCGGTGCATCAAACCAGTAACATTAGAAGTTTCTTGAACTTTGTTAACCAAATAAAATCCCTTAAACAACACATTTTAGAGTGATGCATTGACAGATATTTGTGTACTTTTTGAAGTTTTCGCCTGCTGAACAAACAGAGAATCCGGAGCCAAGGTAAAGGAAATGAAGGACTCTACAGACACATCATGGCTTACACAATGAATATAACTGATTTTTATTCATAAATAAAGGTACAGCCATAAAAAAAAAAATAAATAAATAACATCTTAAAGAAAGAAGGCATATACCTCGACCTGTAACTATAAGCAGAGGGAGATTTTGTGATGATCAGCAAACCCAACACCCAGAAAAAGTCGGAACAGCCATCTCTGTTAAATATCTGAACATAATTTCAACAAATGTTCGAGCATGCCATGTTGAGTAAGACACATTTAGCTTCCAGTTATCAGCAAAACACCAGCCAGAAGTAGACTTGAGAGAAAGAATACATGGAAGGTGGTTTTCAAAGAAAAACAGGGAATAAAGTGTGTAAAAGAGATGAAGGGCAAAGGTGTCTGAACAAATCCAGCAAAGAGAAAAGAGGCAAAGCAAAAGCATAAAGCGACGACTGGATTCAAAAAGTCCAGAAAGTGACACATTATTCCTAAAAGATGTGAAAGAATGAAGTAGAAGTGTGTGAACTAAGGCTAAAAAAGGATGACAGTGATTTCTAGCCCTGTGCGGGTCGGCTCCACGGGCAGCGTTTGCATGTTTTGATGTGATGGAGGCAGACAGCCAGGCCTGTGTGGCCAAAGATAACCTCTTCTAAAGAGCAAGAGTCACGACTGGTCTGCTCAGCCTTTCCTCTCCGTGCACAACGTCTCATTCCTGCACTGTGGACCTTACATGCTGTGTGGCTGCAAGGAGAGGGGATCTGACGGAGCAAGATGATATCTAGCACCAGACTGAAATGTAAATAAGCCTGCTTAATTATCACAAAATAAGCATGTCAGTTTGGAGAATAATTTATTTACATTTTGTTTATTTTTCTTTTTTCTTTTAACAAGTGTAGTTATCTGGCAGGTCGTTCACATGTTTAATGATAGATTTACTCTGATACCATTTAGCCAGAACTGATATTTGCACTTTTCATCTTTAGACTTTTTTTTATGTTTTGAAGCTACATTTGTATCTGAATTCAAAAACAAAAAGAAGAAAGAAATGGATGCAAAACTAATCAGTAGACCTTCATAATCTTCATCTGTCCTTTAATAAACTAAAATTATTTAAAATAAATGTTGGCTGCATTGACGTTCTGAGTAATAATGAGAAACAAAAATCTTTTTTTTTTTTTTTGCATATCTATTTGCTTTTGAACCATTCACTTCTTTATGCACGTTCTAAGCATTTATTTTGCTGTTGTTTCGCAAAGCAGCACTCATGTAAATTAGAATATGATGTCGGGATATGTGAAGCTCAGCCGAAAAGCTTTTTGACAATTATTTGTTTTATTCTAATCTTGGACATTAGGTGATTGCCATACAGAAATGTCCCAGTTTTTCTCCTTTAACCCATTCAGACCTAAGACACCTTGCAGCTTTTCAAATTGTCGCTACAGGTTTCCTCAGGTTTAAGCTGTGTGTTATTGAAAAGGACACTGAAAATTAAGACAAATATTGTAAAAATGCAAAGGTGTTTGAGATCGTCCCAATTTACACAAAAACGCACAAAACCCTAAACTTTATCCGATCTTTACTCAACTTAAGCTGCATTAAAGCCAATTCTGCTTTCTGATTAATTAACTTTTTTTATGCATTTATTAGATAGCAAAATAAAACCCAATTCACCAACTTCAATCAGAAGCCAACTGATTGGCATATCGACATGAACCATTTATAATTACAAGTAGACAAGTAATGTCATTTGTTGTAGGAGCTACGATCTTTGCTTGAGAACATCAACAATAGAAACTAACTTGTTTAAATGTTGAGTTCCCTTCAGATGAGTTTGCCCATACAACTCGTGTTTTTCTCCAGCTTGCCAACGTCCCATCATTTCCCTCAATGCATGACTGCCCCACTGCACTCTTCCAGCACAGTGTTCTCTCCATCTGCCCTTTCAAAGGGACAAAGGCATTACAGTCCGTGAACCCCCCCCCCCCTCCTTCTACCTCTCTCCATCTCTGCTCACTATCTTAAGTGGATTTAAGCCTCGAGTCTTCCTATCCATCAGTGATTTCACGGTGACCAGCTCTGCGCCCTCAGATACACTCACACAACCAGATGGCAGCAGTACTGGAGCATGTGTACTCGGCTGAGGAGAGCATCTGCCGTTACTCTCTCTCACTCGCTGTAATGCACACAATCTACCACACACTGGTGGCTTACGTACAAAAGCACTGCCACCGGCTGTACAGTACCATTTGTCTAGTTGGCCTGCAGCACAGAGAACACACAAACACTGACACGGAGATGAACCGACTGCTCAGCAGGAGGCTGGCATAGGCCGATTTTCATCTTGACTGGCCTGATCAATGACCAACCAATTCAACATTCAAAAGAAAAGCAAGATGCAAAGTTTTTTGGGGGGTTTTTTATGATTATTATTTTAAGATATTTAAAAATAAAGTTGGAAGAATCCAACTTTAAAAATTACAGAAGTTCACTTGAGTCATCTGAAGGTTTAGTAGGGAAAAAGCGACTGGGAGTTTTGATTCTTCCTGCGGCAGAATTATTTAGGATGTTGTCTTAGAATAAGAGCTGAAAACACACAGCCGTGACATTAATTCACAAATCCACTGCCGACAGGCTTTTTATTGCATAACTGTCGTCAAAATGTCCTTCATGTGCAGGACGGCGTATCTGACATTAATGAGTTGTGATGTCCCAGCTACAAACATAAACTGTCAACACAGCATGACAGAAGTGACTACTTCTAGTGCCAAGCAGAAAAGGAGGGAAAACCTCACAAAGACCATCCACTGAAACAAAACAGAGAAGAGGCGATGGAGATACAAAGAGGCCATAATTAAATAAAAGGGACCCAGAGGAGCAGAACAAGTGAAATTATTAAACAGATGACCCAAAATGGAGCCACTATTGAAAACAAATTAGAGTTGAGCAGATCTGTTAAACTGAAGTGTTTAAAAGAAGTTTTATATTTCTACAAACTATCGCACCGTGCATGAAAAATAACATCAAGTGGTAAAAATGTCTGTTTTTAATTTATACAGATATTTAAAGGTAAGAATTTTCATCTTGTAACATGAAGTAATTAAAGAAAAAGAAAATGCTCAGTTTTCTTGATTTGTGCATTTCACAATTCAGTGTCCCATATCTTAAATTAAATGCCATCTAGGACAGCAGCAGGAACAAACTTATAATGTCCAAACAGAAATGACAAAGTGGAAATGGAGATGAGTTTTCTCATTTAATTTTTCTTATGTCCCCTGGGTAAAATAAATGACTAACCAAAAATGACTTTCATTGCATGTAAAGGGAAGTTGAATGTAGAGGGAAGGTTGTGAGGAGCACATACATGAGGGTGGCTGACAATTAAGATATTTCTCCTTGGTCTGTTTGGTTGTTTCTGACCGGGAGCTGTGCATTTCTCCACATGGGTACATTACCACAAGGGGAAGCTGGAAGAGCTTGATTTTTTTTTTCACAGATTATCTGTCGCATTTTAACAAATGTGTAAAAAGAAAAAAAAAAAACATTATTTCTAAAAGTTACATATTGCAGCTTTCTAACATTTTTTTAAACAATGTTTTACAAATAAACTCAGTGGAGTTCAATTATCTTCACTTTGTAAGAGTTTAGTGGAAATCTTAAGGAAGCCACTTACATATAAATGACTGAGGTAAACACAGTTGGATTCTTGTAGGTTGTTACTGTGAATTCAGGACTCTGAGAAAACAAAGCGGGACTTTTGCTGCTCTACAGGGCCAAGACATTCTGCAGCATCCTCTGCTATTACAGCTCATTATTCATGAGATCTACATTAACCTAATCTCACTGGCATAGTTAGAGTCAGCAATGAGTAATAGATGCATCATATCCGATATCATTAAACACAACAAGGAGGGAGCATTTTAGGTGATCCTTCGCCATTGGAAAGAACATCCAATCACATGGTTCTTTTGAAGATTTGGTTTTAAATACAGTAAGTAGCTACTAATATTACCCGATTCAAGTGAGAAAGAAGAGTAAAGGCTGCTGTAACACTAGAAGTTTGTAATTAGTATTCAAAGTGAAGTTTATAAAGTAAGATGTGAGATGAAAACATTAAATAAGCATTTATTAAAGTCCCTTTATACCTGTAAGTGTTGGACAAGCTGACATAAATCTTAATAATTGATGATTGAGTTTAAGTGGATCACAGAATACAAAAAAATGTAATACGGATGAAAAAAAACATGAATTTAAGTCACAGTCATGTTTCCCGTCACATTAGACACAAGTGCTACTTTATCTTCCATAAACAATATTTACAAAAAACAACAAGTTAAAAAAGACAATTTACCAAAATTTGATGTAACCCCAAAATGCTTAAGATTGTTTTTTTATATTGCCAATTTGCTTTTTGAATCAATATTTTTTAGGTACTTAGAATAATAGAATCTGTGTTCCTAGGAGCCACAGATATTGTTCCTGTGTTAACATGAAACTAAGCGAATTGCAGGAAATAAATAAATAAATAAACAAAACAGTTAAAGATAAACTGTGAAAATAACTTGTTTCACATTACTTATCCACAGCAAACACAAGCTGTTGACAATGCAGCTGAGCGTTCTGCGCCAAAGTCTGCAGAGTTTCACT